ACATCCCATGGGGCATGGAGAATGTCGTCCTATGGACGTTGTCTGGATCCACGCATATTTGTTCGTATGTGTCCGACATATCGATCTTGGATCGGTATGTTGCTCTGGCGACTGATTCTTGGATCAGTCGCATGTCTGGCATTGGTGTGATCGAGGATCGTGTTTGAGTTACGGTTCCTCGGGTCTATTACCGTGCGCAAAGATCCATCTGCTTTGCAGATGCACAGTAGCGGGCATGCTCGCTCGCTGTTTGCGGGATACCACCATCCTGCTTTTACATAGCGATCTATTTTGGTCACTGCAGTGCTGCAGGACATCTCGGGGTGTTTTCCCGAAATTTCTTGTTCGGATCCTTCAACAGGATTCAATGGTTCACCTCCCTCAAGGGAGGCATTTCTAATGGTGCTGGTGCCATTACGGTTTCAAATTTTTCTCTCCCCCACTCCCTGAGTATTTCGAACTTGGGGTTGTTCATGGAGAGACCTTCCAGGTGTAGTACGTCTGGAAGTTCTAGTCCTTCCGGACTAGGATTGGGCCAACCTTCAGGGTATTTTCTTTTGATTACCCTGAGGTGTGTTTCAGTCCTGCCTCCCTGTCAGGGGGGCTTCTTTTTTGGTTGTTCTCGGGCTCTTGCTCGAGTTTTCCATCCATGTGATCTTGTCACACGGTCTTCGCTTATTCCAAGGGTGTCTATGTTGCCCTTGTTCACTGTTCTCACTTTGTGGGACTGGAAGTCTAAGCTTACCTGGTTTTTGTTTAACCAGGGGGCGCCGAATATGGCATCGTATCTGTCGATGTTAATTACATTGAAGTAGTGTTTTTCTATGTGGCCGTTGATCTCAACGTCCACGTTGGTTCCGAACAGGATCTGTGATCTTGTTCCTTTCGTCCCCATTTGAAGGATGACTGGGTTCTCCAATTGGAGAATTGGGATGTGGACCGTGCAGACAAAGTCTGGCGATAAAGCGTCCATTTCGGCTCCACTATCAAATAGCACATAGGCTTTTATGCCTGCTATTTTTATGTGAGCTGTTAGCGTTCTCTTTGTTGCGAGCCGTCTGTTTGCAGGGTATTTTCCTGCGTCTTTTGAGATGCGGAATTTCGCATCAAACAAGGGGGACTGGGTTTCGATGGACTTTTGGTCCTTCTTCCCTTTGTCCTTGTTTTCCTTGGGTACTTTGGTGTATTTCCCCAAGGTGTCTTTTCTTGGTGCTTCCACCAAGGCTTCGGCGACTTTTTCGTCTGCCATGTTTTCTAATTGGCATGCTACAGCCAGTTTGATTTTGTAATTTATGTCGTTGTGGTCAACAACTGACATTGGGCCCATCCTTATGGTCCCGACATTGACTTCCTCACCCTCTGAGTCAGGTGAGTATTGAGGTCCTTCGTATGGGTCCTCTACTTCGAAGCTTGATTCTTCGGAGTTACCAGAGTTGTTCTCTGGTTTCTCATCTGATGAGCCTTTCGACTCTTCATCTGTTGAGTTCGCGATCTCCATGGCAGCTATGCGCCTTGGTTTTTCATTGCTTGTTACATTGTGTCTTGGGCAATCTTTCGTTTGCCCTATTTTGCCGCATTTGCCGCAAATTGGAACTGACTTTTGGTCAGTTTTCCTCGAGTTTTTTGAGGATGTATCCTCTTTCCATCTGGGTTTCAGCTCTTCTGCCTTCTTTCCTGATGGGAGGGCTCTGCCATGGCTCATGGTTGCCGTGGTAGTTGTTCGGGTATAGTAACCTGATTTGTAGGCTGAAGACATCTTCAGCCCATCAATTATCTCGTCTACACGAGATATTGCTTTTAACATCTCCTCATTTGAGGAGAAGTCTGCTCTGATTCTATCATGAGCAATCATTTCCCTCTTCCATTCGAGGGGAATGTAGTTTAGGAACCTGGCATTGAAGGACGCCTGGTCTGGTGGCGTCACCATCTGGGACGCTGCTTTTGACAGTTCTAAGTAGAACTGTTTTAGGCCTTTTTCCGCTTCATATTTGACGTTGTGGTATTTCTTTGTCACGTTCAGCGCGGCGGAGGCTTTGATGAAGGTTCTCATCAATATGTTGAGAACTTCGAGGAACATGCCCTCATCTCCTCTGAGGAGAGTTTCGTCTCGGAGTCTAATTCCGAGGTCGAACGCGGGCCCCCCTAATCCACGAATCAAGCAGTCCAGGTGGACTTCGTCAAATTGGGGACCTTTGCATCCTTGCGAGGCAAGGAATCCCAGTAGTTCTGTGAACCACTGCCAGAACGATTCCATGTCGTTCTCCCCTGACCATTTCTTGTCAGGGAATGCCGGCCCATTCTTTAGGGCTTCTGGCTTCACTCCTTCTGGGTAGGGAGTGAGTATTCTCACTTCGGCCATTCTTATGGCCTTTTCGTACCATTTCTCCAGGTACTCTTCTTGCTCCCCTGCCTTCGCGGGGTCGCTATCCAATGGAGATCTCTCCTTTGGGGGGTTTTTGCTGGGGGAAATCTTCCTCACAGCGTTTCTTTGGTTTCAGGCGAATTCGCCTGAAGTTGTATTTGTATTCTCTCATTGTTTTGAGAGGGTGTGAATGAGTTACCTCTCTGTTCGAGAGGTCCATCATAAGTGGACGTTTGGCCGAACCTTTGGTACGTGCCAATTCTCCTCCTAATCTCTGAACAATGCCTTCTTTCGGCATTGTCTTCTCCTATCCTTGGGAGAAGGATCTCCTTAGCATCTCTGTTGAGTCGCTGATGATATTCCAGTGTGCTTTCACTGGTGGTTCTTTTCGTGAATTTTTCACGAGTTCTATTTATGTCCTGGACTGTGGTCCAGGGGTGTTACTTTTTTGTGAGAAATTTATTTCCTTCAGCAAGTCTGTTTGTTCGCTGATTTTTTCAGTCAACGCGTCGATTGCGTTGGCCATTCTTTCTAGAGTTATCTCTAGACGAGCCGTGCTATTATGGTTTGTTTCCTCGATCTTTTTTTGGATCGAGTTTATCACGTTTATTATGCGTGATTCCTGGTTTTCCAGGAGGAAGTTTGGTTGGGCGAGCAGAGACTCTCCCCAGTTGACATTTCCGCTCCTGGGGGTTCCAGAATGGGTTCTTGGAGTGAACACTCCATGCTCGCTTTGTTTAGGCGAGGCCGTTGTGGAGGGTGCTTCCCTTTCATAGAGGGGTTTGTTCGCTGGTTTTTCCTTACTTTTACGTAAGGCTTCCTCAGCGAACTCCCTCATTTCAGTTCGCCTCCTCTTCATTTTCTCGGAGACCTCCTCCGAGGTTGGCGACCTTGCCTTGTCTGGCATGGTGTGTGGGAGTGTAAACAGCGGAAGTTCTTTTGGAGCTTCCGCACTCTGGGAGATCCTGCTCTCAGGGCGTATCTTCATGCCTTCTCGGGCTTTCAGCCTGAGAAGAAGTTGATCATCACTTTCCGTCCTCCATTCAGACAGAACCTGGAACAAGTCCAGTAGTTTTTCGGATAGCCGATGCAGGGGCTATTCCCTTTGTTTCCCTTTGTCTGCCTTTGGGGCTTGACTTGGGGACGTGAGGGGGGACTCCAGGGGATAGTTGGGCCCTGGAGTTTCCTGCGACTCTATCCAATCAGCTTTTTGGGCTGATCTTTCAGCACTTACACGTTTTTCGCGCAAGTCGATCACCTCGGGAGGAGGTGAGGGATCTTCCCCAGCTTGGGTTAGATCGGTATGTTGTGGAGTTCTGGGGGTATTTGGCCCCACACTTACTCCACGTAAGTTTCTAAAACCTTCAGGGACCAGCCCTGAGGTGGTTGCTAATGCCGGATCATGTTGATCCTCGTCGTCGTCTGACGATGGCTTTTGGTTTGAATCTCCCATGATGGGAGATTGCGGTTTCTTTATAAACTGCTCGTTTCTTTTTAGTGTCGCTGCAGATGCGACCTTGCCCTTGCGGGCATGTTTAGGCACCATAGGCACTTCCAAGTCAGATGTTAAGATTTTAGAGTTGTGGGTTGTGTTGTAAAACACACCTCATGCACTTAAAAAAGTGTGAGGTCTTTGGGTAGCTCAGCACACAAGGCCGTAAGTGATACAAGTTTGTGTATTTTACGGTGGTGTGTAAGCAGTTACCCGGAGGTTCCCGCTTGCCCACGTGACTATATGTATCTAATTTACATGTGGCTCGGGGTTCGGGGCTATTGCCCTGACATAAACAGACCAGTTATGGTACCTCAGATAGCAGATCCTGGTGACTCTACAGATCATGCATTTTAGCGTTTCACAATATCTTGGAGTAGTGCCTCACTGCCTTCTGGGGCCCAACTCATACCTTATTGACTGCTGTTCAATTAGGAATAAAGGTGTCCTTAGGGGCCAGCCAACAATGCTTGTTGATCTGTTCAATTAGCTTTTCCCCCATCATTGCAGCAATCACTGTAGCACCCAACTGGAGTATAGTACACTCTAGTTTCTCCTCCTCCACTTCTCATCTCGTGCCTTCTGGGCTTCACGGCTGGCAGCGGCTTTTGCTGCCTCAACTTTGTCCATAGTTTCCTCTCAAAATTCTGTGTGTTCTCGATGCCGAGCTTCCTTCCTGAGGAATGGATGATGGGCTTCACTGAAATCTGCCCTTATGAAGCCCTCAGTGTTGTTATGGCTATACATTGCCAATGAATTAAATGGGCAGTTGATTTTGATTGTTTTGTATGCAATGAATTTTCTGTAATACTAATACCAATCGCTGACAATGTAAAAGGGTATAAGGAGCATGGTAGAAAGTTGTTCCAAAGTCAGAAGAGCATCAATTGAGCTGAGTGTTGGATTTTTGTAAAACGTGGTTGTCGAGAACAGTTGTAGAGCCATGAGAACTCATTTTTTTTACAATTCCTCAGTCCCCTTATCAGCTTTTACGATTCCAAGTAACTTTTGATTCAACTTTTTGTTGCATGAGACATTTGTGATGAGTTATAAAACTATACTTCCACAGGCTGCTCTGCGGCCAGTCTAGCTTACATAAGCAGTCCCGTGCCCAATTGGGTCACGAGGTGTGGAAGTGGCTGTGATCAGATGGTTAGCCGCGAAATGGCCAATCATTCCAACTCTGTTGTTGTGAAGAGCCACGGCCTTTCGGAATGCGCGGTCCAAGAGTTTGGGACTGTTGTCGATCTGGTTTATGATGCCCTCAGGGACTTTCGACCTCCCAGTGGGTCGATCTTTCAAGTCGTTGCCCCAAACCTCCAGGCCTTCGATGCCTGGAGGAAGGGCATCAAGCCACGCCTGCACCTGTGCCTATCTGCTCCAATCCCAACGTTCAAAACCACAGTAGCCAGAGAAATGTTCCCCCTGATCACATCCTCTATTCTCATAGTTCGCGCTCATTGGGCGCACTCCGATGGTACGGCAACTGACCTCATGCCACTGGACATTTCTCCATTCCGTCATAAGGACAGGCGGAATGTCCGGTACTGGTCGAGCAAGATACCGGAACGCATCGTTGCATTACGTGAGCGGTCCCCTCGTTATCTGGATATTACTTCCCAGTCCTTCCCCCTTGGTAACACGGCTCCCACCGCACGAGAGCTCAAGGACCGCGCATCACGGCTAGAGAACACGTCCCAGCAGCTCCGTACGATAAGCCACATCTACTATTGTGCCGCCGCTCTGAGAGAGATGAGGGAGTTAGGACCGGAGAAGTTTTTTGTGAGTGTGGTCGAACTTGTCCCTTTTTATCTTTGCCTGACCATGAGGATTCGCATCATAGGAACGGTGTCTCCACGCTTCCAGTGAACGGTAAGCCGTTTTATTCCTGTAGACCACGCTGACGATTCGGCAGTCACTCTTCTGGTAGCCCCCTCATTATGTCATTACTGATATCGCCACTTGTCCTGCTTTTCGATACCACTCTCACTAGCCCATCAATTCTCCCTTCCATCACCGCCATGGTGTCGTATGCTGTCTTGCACGGGGGTCTCAGGCAATCGAACGGCCCTCGGAAGGTGCTCGAGAATGCCCTGCTTAATCTTGTAATTTCTGTTTCGCAGACAGGGCAGATGTCGCAACACGACGTTAACAAATTTCACACCGCATGGGAAATGATTTTGCCATATATTCCCGATACCATCGCTCCCGTCACTGACCCACCCGACATTGACCCCAGGGGAATCGAGAATGAATCCGCTTCCACCGCTCCACACTCCACGGGGCAAGCCTCGGGCACACATCCTTCCATGACTCAATCCTCTGCAGCTGCCGAAATCTCAGCCATTGCCCCAACTCCGACAGTTGCCCACTCGACCCTTCCTACCGTTCGCCCCCAGTTGGCACCCCACGCTCCGAATGACAGGGATGAAGAATCCACTCGCGGTCAAAAGGAGTCTCAACAATATCCGCCCGCCACCCAGGTGTCTTCGTTCGCTGGTCAAAAACGCCACGGTGGATGGCGATTTGACTGTCATCGACAGAACAGGAAACGTGCGCGGAAACGGATTATATCAGGAACTGGGTACATCCACGAAGCTTACGAGACCGAAGGAACAATAGCCTCTATACCTTCTCTCGACATCTGCAAGACGTGGCCCCATATAGACAAAATGCCGGACGTCCCGGACCTCAATGCAGATGCAAGGTCAGATGCAAGATCAAAAGTAGGTTTAGTATACGTTCGTAACCGAAGCCGAGAACTCCTCCACTCCTCCACAGCTCCTCTATCCGATAGACTTGCATGTCAGCTCTCTTGTCGATCGAGCCGAAGGGCGAATTTCCCAGGTGGAGACCTTCTCATTTCCGCACCGTGCACATTCTGTAAGTCGTTTCTCGTTCTTTCCCACACTGACAACTAACCACATTGCAGCCCTCCCTGCAGAAGTTGAAGCACTTCTTAGAATCGCCCCAGCATGATGCCAAGGATTGGAAGCCCATTTTGATGACAACACAGCAAGCGTTAGTGATGGACGCACAGCGGTTCCAGAGTATGGTCAACGATGGTACCCCGATCGTCTTGGCGGACCAACCAATGCAGACCCCGTTTTGCGCAGATAGCCTCATTGACTTGAATCCCGAGGTTCAGTGTATCGGCAAGGGTTTTCTCCCGTTGTTTCATCCCGTTCACCGACCGACCTATTTTTTAGATTCTGACCATATTCCATCGGCTGATCACGATCACCCCCGGATGGCCGCGAGTCAAGCTTTTGACGAGATATGTGATTGGCAGAGATCCAGGCCACTGATCCTTACCCAGGCCTCCGCTGGTCACATTTCACTGACAGAGAGGTATGTTGGTTCATTTTCTTAATCACCTTTCTCACACCATTACAGTCTCCTTAATACTCATGACGCAGCAATTGCGTATTTTCCTCTGCGGCATCTGGGCTTTCAAAACTGGCGATATCTGATTGTCGCGGCCGCTGGCTCTGTAAACCCCCCTCACCAGGGTACAAGCGGCACTGGCATTACCCTTCGCTGTGCTAATGGTTACGCCATCTTCTTCGTTCCAATCCTAAAACCAGACCAGTTTATCATGAGCTGTTTCAATGGCGCGGACACCTCCCCCAACCCGGATTTTTCATACCTCTACAAAGCTCCCTATCATTTTGGCTCTTTTGTTCTCTCACCTGGCCAAACGGTGTAAGTAATCTCATTGTCTACTGAGTTCCACTTGACCCCTCTATCCTCAGTATCTTTCCTCCTGGCCAAGTCTATGCCTATGCATCGCTTTCTCGAGAAGTAAACAATATACTCATCCCGGGATGTATCATGCATGGTTCGGACTTTCTTGCTGCTGGATGCATGAAGCGATCGTTTTTCACGAGCTGGATGCATTGCTCTGCCAAACAATCCAAGAGCCAAGTTGCCTGGAAACCTGACATCACACCGTCCCTGATGGCCATGGTGTGGAATGCGGTGTGTGCGGTATCAACTGCGCAAGAACAGCCCATCCACTCCCCAGACATTGTAAACCTCTGCTCATTGGCATTTATGGCCATGGAGTTCATTGGGGATTATGACCCGCACTTTTCTGAAATGGCCAAGTCATTGTGGCGTTATTGTGCAGAGCAACGACTGGATGCTTGTTCCCAATTCCTTAATGAATTCTCACATGTGAAAAACCACCAATTATGTGTATGAATGTTGTTGTAATTGTAATTGTTTTCCTTTTCCTTTGACCTCTTAGTCCTAGCCCTACTGCTGCAGCAATAAGGTGCTGTTGGCCAATCAACCATTGCCACTGATGGCTGCCTCAACACTCCATCTGACCACGTATCCATTGAGTCTGTTGTAAATGGTGTTCCAGATATGGCAATGTGTCTCCCAGCAGCTCACTTGTAGCACAGTGAGGTTGGTGGAGGAGAATCTGGTTTATTACCCCATGGTCTTGTTGTCATGTGGCAGCATGGCTGTACTTAGTAGGCACATGAGGGGATTGTCATTACAAGAGAAGAGTGTATGGGTGTGTTATGGGAATGGATCTAGAATCTTATGGTCTGTGACCATAGGCAGTCAAACCTTGGGACCCTCCACCTTTATTTCATTGTCAAACCCCATGCCAAGCGGTTTTGGTGCTGGCTGGGGGATTCAAGGGACTTCCCTTGACCTTTGTTGTCATATCCCGGATCTTCTGCCTCCCTCTGCCCTATCCCTACACAACTCCTATGACCTCCACAGCCCTCCCAATCTCTCTCTGCTGCCTGTCACGGCCCCGCAAAGTCCCTGCCCCTCTACCACTTTCTGCACCCCCACTCGTGCGCCATTACTCGCGCCCGTTAATCTCGCCATTGCCCATCACTTAGCGGCACCGATAGTGGTTCCCGTTCTACAGCCCCGTAGCAGCGCCTCCTTCGTTCTCCCGCCACCACTTGGGTTCCTCAAGCATTCGGCTGGTACCATTTTATTCTATTCACTCGCTTAACTAACTAGCAGTTGTTATGGTCGCCGTTGATCCGCTCCTTATTGACATTCCTTTATTGATATTTGATTTATACGTATATTGACATTCTGATCCGCGCGCCTAGATTGTCGGCCTATCCATTCTGCCTCCCAACTTCGCCGTCCTCTGTTCCATTCATTTCTTCTGTTCCATTACCCTGGTCCTCATCGCTCTTTAGTTCTGTCATACTTATCATCTCGCTCCCGTCCCGCGCCGGACCGACCGGTCCCTTCTCTGTTCTCCTTTCTTATTTATACTTGTAGTTTACTGTTGATGTACCTCAGTTCAAATATCAACTAGAATTCCCCCCCAAGTACTTTCATCTTAAGTTTGCCTCTCAACTTCATCCCCACTTAAGTCAACGTCGCCGCAAGGTCTTTCCCGCTAACGTGAAATACGGGACAGCCTAGAACGCGTGGCGCAACGCTCTGGCAAAGTCGTTGAAGCCGAAGTCCCAACCCCCTCGACGCCTTGCAACGGAGTAGCTCATTAGCTAAGTAACCACTTACACTGCCATACTCCGCCCTGCTTCCCGCGATCACCTCGAACACAGTTTCTGACACTGCCTCCGGTCAATGCCAATGGCTCTAGGACTACCTCCTCCTTTGACTCTCTCCTGCTCTGCCTCCCATCTACGTCCACATCACCTCTGGACCTCCACCACCATACCTCCACCTCCTTGGACTCCTTGTTCGAAGGAGATGTGCCTGCTCATTGTTGATAAATTTCAATTTGCCTATCCACCCTCCTTCCTACCTCCGGTCTCCACACTTCCGGTACCTCAGGTACCTGTCATATCCATACAACTCCGGACCTCCGCTCCTGTTCTGGACCTCCATCTCCTCCTCCAGAACTCCACACCCTCCACCACCACCTCCCCCTGTTGGTTGTTGAGAGCCCACTCTACCTCTGGCTCCAACACAATGTCCAACACTACCTCCAATCCAACTCCGGTTTACTCCAGGTCCGATCCCAACCTTGTACCTTCCAGACCAGAGTTTGCAATGCTCCTTACCTCCGGCTCCAGACTCCTGTACCAGAACCTCATTGCACCTCCACCTCCAGAACTCTGGTCACATCTCCACCTCTGGACTTTGACCTCCTCCTCTGTCTTATCTCCTTGTATTCCTTATTACATTTCATTTATTATGTCTTGCCAATATTCCGGACTTTGACTTCCGACTCCGGACCCTGCAGTCTCTACTGTATGGTGTCATTTAATCCTCTTGTTGCCTCTTGTCAGGATACCAAGCTGCTCAGAGCTAAGGTCAAGGGATCCAGTGGATGTGGAGGTAAGACTAGGAAGGTCCGGGTCAGTCTCTATAGGAGTGTCAGGGGACGGACCCTGGGTCCCCATGACCCCTCTCTCTATAGCCCACAGCCCAACCCGTAACAGCCTAGTCTCAAGGCAAAGAGCTACTGTGGGTAAGAAAGTGATATAAACAAAGGGGCAAGTAGATACACTTGCCTACTGTGGGTAAGAAAGTGAGAAGAAGGTTAACTTCTCACTTTCCCACAGTGGCCCCAATATGGCGAAAACTTCCGGGGATACCCGGAAGTCACATGAGGTGGGATCCGGGGTCGGATCATGCGGCGCACGGAGCGTGCGGCGCAGGAAGTGCGCGGGAAGTGGAGCGGGTCCGGATGCGGGTCCGGGTCCAGGCTAAGTCAGGGTATGTGCCCTGACAAGGAGAACCGTGAGGTGTGCTAGGCAACACAGGCTCCAGCTGAGCAGTGGGGGAAATGAGAGAAGAAAGCTGGTCTTCCTACTTGCTACTCAGGGTGTAATATACTGTAGCCTACACACACAGCTAATCTATGAGGCACTGTACATACCAACAATCAATGATCCAGGTTTGTCTGGTTGTGCTGGATCATGGATCACAGAACATGGAACATGGATTTTGGAGTGGGATCAGATCATAGGGCTGTGCAGGGATCATGGATCATGGAATCTGAGGGACCATAGATCATGGAATTCAATGGATCATAGATCATGGAATCAGATCATGATGGGTAATGTCAGAGACCAGATTTTAAGACGAAGGAATGTCTCCGTAACGGAGGGCTTTGGCCTCAGCGACTTCTGCCAGGAGCGCTGTGCCTAGTGACACGTCCGTGCCCTAACTTACTGACTGGCACTTAGAACCTAGTGGGGGTAACTCTAGTTGATTTATCTGCTGGGGCGTAACCTATGTACAAGTAGTGTATATATATGGTTACAGCGGAGACGGTTCTGCAATTGGCGGAGCCGGACGGAGCGGAGCTAACGGGGTTAAGACATTAGCCGACTGAATATTACCGACGAGTCGGTTTGCGGGGTTAGCGGAAAGGCAGGCGTTAACCCAGAAACGGAAAGGAGGGATAAGCCCGAAGGTGGACACTGCAGGGCAGGCGAGTGTATTGCCCAGCGGAGGCGGGAGTGCGCTAGCGGACGTCGGAGCTGTCCGGAAGTCTTCGGGGCTCCGTACTTAGGGAGGCGTAGGTAATAAATTGAAATGAAGGGGTGGTGGTCATCGAGGGGCACCGGGAGGTTTGTGGAATACGGGGGCTCCGAGGTTGGTGAGGGGGGAGCGGAGTTAGAACGGAGGGGTCGGAGAGCCCGGAAGTCGATGGCCAGGAATGGATATGACAGTATCCCCTTCTTAGGCCTGAACCCTTGAAGGCCCAGAATTAGTAAGACGAGGGGAGCTGCACTTACAGGAAGAGAAACAATGAGGAAAATAAAAATGAAAAACGGAAGTGAGGAGCGGAGGGGAAAGGAGAAATGGGAGAGGAGTCGGGGTTCCTAAGGAGCTTCGGGTCCAGGCTTCGCTGGGTACCGAGAGTGGAACGCTTCGACGAGGTCGGAGGCGTGATCGAGTTCACCGGCAAGGAGCCATTGTGTCTCCTCGTCGGTCCCTTCATAGCCTAGCCACTTGACCAAGTAGAGCAACTTGTTGCGTCTACGTCGGTCGATCTTGGAGTCGAGTATCTCCTCGATCTCGAACTCCATCTCGCCTTCGATTTCTACGGGAGGCGGAGGTGGCTGGTGGTGATTCGGAATGGTGTTTGGGACAGATGGTTCGATCTGCGAGACATGGAATACCGGGTGAATGGCTCGCATGTTATCCGGCAGGCGGAGAGTGAGGGAGTGGGTTCCAACGCGGGCGATGATCTCGAATGGGCCGAGGTTTTTCTCGGAGAGCTTTTTGGAAGGTCGAGTGGAACGGAAGTACTTGGCCTTCACGTAGACCGAGGTTCCTACTTCAAAAGCTGGGGCAGGGCTCCGGCGAGAGTCTGCCGGGCCCTGATAACGGATCTGGGCGAGATGCATTTCCTCACGAAGGAAGTGGTGGAGGGAGTCGAGATCGACAGAGTACTCTTGGGCGCGTACCGATGTCAGGTCTCGCTCCGGGTGAACAGTGATGTTCGGGTGGTAGCCTTTGTTGGCGAAGAACGGGGAGACGCCCGTGGTGGCATTCGGAGCGTTGTTGTATGCGAACTCTGCGAGAGGCAGGAGTTCGGACCAATTGTCCTGCTGGTAGTTACTGTAAATATGCAGGTACTGCTCGAGCGTCTGGTTCATCCGTTCGGTCTGACCGTCTCCTTCCGGGTGATAACCAGAGGTGAAGTGGAGGCGGATGTCGAGGGCCTTACCAAGTGAACGGAAGAAATGAGAGACAAACTCCGGACCCCTGTCAGAGGTGATGTGGGATGGAACTCCGTGCTTGGAGAACACATGGAGGAGGAAAAGCTTGGCCAGTTCCGGAGAGGTGATGGTATCGTGGGTAGGGATAAAAATGCACTGTTTGGACAGGCGGTCCACGACGACCAAGATGGAAGTGAATCCGGAAGAGGAGGGTAGCTGTTCGATGAAATCCATGGAGATGGAGTTCCAAGGACGTTCGGGGATGGGGAGTTGTTTGAGTAAGCCGTAAGGCTTATGACAGGGGACCTTGGCACGGGCACACGAAGTGCAGGAGGATACGTAACTCTTGACGAAGTTACGGATACCTGGCCAGGTATACTCACGACGCACTAGATCCAGAGTCCGGTTTTGCCCGAAGTGTCCGGAAAGTTGGTGGTCGTGTTTGTCTCGCAAAACGCGAAGACGGAGATCGTTAGAATCCGGCACGTAAATGCGATTGTCCAGCCTTAAGAGGCCTTCGGCATCAACGGACCAGCGGGAGTTGGGGAGGTTGGGGGAAGCGAGATGAGAAGAGATTGAGGTGTCGGAGGAGAGGGAGGTTAGGATGTCTCGATGAAGAGCCTCTGTGTCGACGAGTATGGCTGCTCGGATTACTGTGGCAGCTAGGAACGTGGC